CCAATCCTCCTCCTTTTTTTCCCCCAAAGCCCCAGTAGATAGTTGTATGTCATAGTTGCACATCCTTCTAGTTGCTTATATACAGCAACTTTTATAGGTAATACCCATATGCCCCCACCTAGATCCTATAATTAGCATTTTCCAGGACTTATTTTATCACGTATCTATCCTTCTATCCATCCATCAATCCACCTAACTTTTGATGCATTTCAAAATAAATTGCAGACATCAGCATACTCTTTTAAGCGTTTTTGTGGTTTAGTGGAGTCAGATCCAAATTTGAAGGTGCTTCTACCAGCCTCAATTTTCTCATCTCTAAGTTGATGACACCCAGTTTTGCTAGGAAGATTTCATTTGTTTATCAAACATTCAAATAATGTTTTCTATATGCACTTTATAAATGTTATCTCATTTAATCCTCATAACAGTCTATTGAGGTAAATTCTATTATTACGTCCATTGTGCAGATGAGGTTTCAAGAAGTTAATGAGCTCACTGAAAGTCACACAGTTCGCAAATGACATTGCTGAGAGTTGAAGCCAAACTCTCTGACTTTAGTGTCTATGCTCTTAGCCACTACACTGTGCTGCCTCCGATATGTGATAACGTAAAAATACTTAGCACAGTGCCCACTAAATTATGGGCATCCAGTGTATGGTGATCTTCATTTTAAAAATTTTCACTGCAACCCCACACAGCGGGTATTATCTCCAGTTTACAGATGAGGAAACTGGAGGTCGGAGAAGTTTGATAACTTGCTAAGAGTCCACTGCTAATAAAGCATTTGGGATTTGAACCCAGGAACAACTGGCTCCTAGGTCAGTGTCATTTCCCTGTACTGTGTGGTACAAAAACCACTGAAGTACACATGATCCTAGACCACCTATGGGGAATTCTTGTTTAGGGATGGTCTTCCCTCCTCAGCCACAAAAAGAAAAGAATGTGGTAGTAAAAGGGGCTTCTGCCTAGTTCCCAGGAGGCGCCTGTGTCTTTTACAACCATTAAACAGACTCAACGGCAGGTGGCAGCAGGGCCTCAGAGCCTCATCAAGCTTCTGGAAAGGAACCATGACTCTCAGCTATCAGCTTTCCCTCTATGGGAGGCCTTACATGGAGCCAATCCCTTCTCTATTGTACCTTCTTTCTCCCCCTCCCCCTCCCCCTCTCCCTTCCCCTCCCTCTTGCTCATCCTTCCTTCTCCTCTTTCACCTCCTCCTTTTCCTCCTCCTCCTCCTCCTCATCATGATCTTTGGTCTCTCAGGAAGCCAGTCATAATCATTATCATTATCTTCCTCATAGTTACCATTTACTGAATGCTTCTCATGTGCTGTTCTAGGCACTTTACACATACTGGCTCATTTAATCTTCACAACAATGCTGCGAGGAGAGGACTACTGCCTCACATATGAGAAAATGGAGGCCCCGAGGGCACTTGGCCTAAGGACACTTGGCCCTGAGTTAACAGCCTTCCCAGAGTTCAGCTTGGGAGATGTTAATCACTGCAAAGGTGCTGATAGGTGCTATGGGAAAGCTGAGGGCATAATAGTAACAGGGAACTGGACTTTAAAAGCAGAATTGCTAAAATTGCCTGGCCTTCCCTTGTGGAGCGAGCTCCTATCCTCAGCGTACAAGCAACCTCTGGCACAAAGCATGCATACAATTCATCCCCACTGTGTCAAACATGTGACAAGAGATTTTCACATATTGAGGTATGGGGGTAACTATTCGGGTTCAAAACTGATTCGGCTTGAACTAAAAAGCCTGACTTATGGCCTGTCAAACATACATTGTACATCTGCTGAACCATTAAAGTAAAGAATACACTCTTAAGATAAGAATGCATACTTCCCCTCCTCCGCCCTATTGGTAATGCCCAGATTAGTCCCTTTCCTGACATCACCATCACACTGACCTGCTAATTTGCAATTGAACACCTCTTTGAAATTTTGATAAAAATGTATCCTGGGTGTGTTTAATGTATGTTCTTTGTTCTAAAAAGATATAAGACTGTACTGAAAACCATGCTTCTCCAGAATGCTTTCTAAGGCCTTCCTGGGTTATAATCCTCACTCTGGGTCAAGTAAACTCACCTTATTTCTCTTATCTATAGAATGCTTATTGGTTATTTTGCATCAATACATGTAAAGAGGGCCCCAAACTGGGTTATTCCCAGATTGGAAGGCCTGGGTCCTATACATGGCTTTGCTCTTAACTTGCTGTGTGACCTTGGGCAAGTCAGTTCCCCTCTGAGTCTCATCTGTAAAACTCAGATGACAATAATACATACACTACTAATGTAAGTGAGCATAAGTGAGGCCATCTTGTTACACTAAATGGCCCGGACCCCTCCTCTGTGTGACTACTCGCTGTGCTGCATGTACTCCAAAAAGCTCGCATGCTCTCCTGATTTATGGCCTCCACTTACGTATGTACTCCCCAATAGCTTGATAAATTAAAAACTTTGTTCTATGAGTTTCTCTCCAGGAACAGGCTGACCACAGGCAGGAAACACACCTACAAGGTATCCATCACAGCCGACAGAAGAATGGAACAATGTGATGCCTGGAGCCCATCACGCCTGGAGACCAACATCCCTGGACCTCCTCCTTACTGCCCATTTTCCCTGTATAACTGCCTCAAGATTCTGTAATCTTTGAAGATGCGTCTTTGAGACATTAGTCACCTGTCTTCCGATTTGCCGGCTTCGTTTCTCGATCTCTAACTCATTGTGATTAATTGGCTCAGATTGTGGTGAGCAGAGCGAGCCCATTGCTCACTATCACTAACAGTACAGAATTATTAACGTGAGGATCAAATAAGAATGTTAAAGAAGGTGCCTTAAGTGTAAAGCATTTTACCAATATAACAAATAATTTCCCTTACTCTCCTCTTCCTCCTCCTCCTTCTTCTCTCTCTCTTCCATCTCCCTTGTCTTCTTCTTTCACTCTATTTTTGTTCCTTCTCTTTCCTTCTTTATTTTTCCTTAACCAGGTCTGGGATTTACCTGCAGCACTGCACTTAGGCAGAAGGAACATAGGCTTTAGAGGCAGGCAGACCTGGGGCTGACTCTTGGCTTTGCCCCTTCCACGTTGTTTGTTGGGCAATTACTTTACCCTTTTGTGAGCCTCAGTTTTATCATCTGTAAAAATGGACACACATAACACTTTACTTGCAAGGTTGATGTTGGAAGATGTGGTAGATTGTCTGTAAATATAGCCAACAATTCCTCTCATCTCTGACATGCATGCAGCTCCTCCCATCAAAGGGTAGCGTCTCTTTTCCCCACTCCTTAAATCTAGGCTCGCTCTGTGACTTGCTTTGACCAATAGAGTACAGCAGCAGTGTTGCTGTATGACTTCTGGTCTTACGCCATGAAAGGCCTTGCAGCTTTGGTTTTCACCCTCTTGAAAGCCTGCTGCCAGATAAAAAAAATGTCTGACTATTTTACTTGGAGAGGCCAAACGGAGAAAGAGAGGCCCGGGAGGATAAAATACTACAAAGGGAGATGGGGGGTGGGGCATGCCCAGCCAGCCCACAGCTGTTCCAGCCACCCCAATCGAGGTGCCTGATATGAGAGTGCAGACATCTTGGATGCTCCAGCCCCAGCCAAGCTGTCTGAGGCAACACCACATGGAATAGAAATAAGCCATCCCCAGCAAGCCCTGCTCAAGTTGCAGAATCATGAGTAAATAAATGGCGGTTGTTTGAAGCCACTAAGTTTTTGGGTGGTCTGTTTCACAACAATAGGTAAACTAACCAGAAAAAGTAAATGAGATACTAGCACCCCACCCAGTGGCTGGCAGGTGTAGGTGCTCAGCATGATTATTCCCTTCCCATTCAGAGTTGTCCCTGGGAAACGGCTGACCTGTTAGTGGCGCTACAACCAGATTGATAGATCTGACCTCCAGTGTGCCAAGGATGCAGAGCAATGACCACTCCTATACTTTACAGAGACCTAAAGGCTTATACGGGTACTCCAAGTCACGCAGTTGGGTGTCCCTCCTTTGCCCAGAGTAAGCGTGGATCACCTCAAAAACAGGCTTGTAGCTGAACAAAATCTGGGTTGATAGAGTAATGTCAGGTAAGGCGAATAGTACTTCTTTTGACTGGTCATTCAATCTACCTGATGCCAGAGGCACAAGGGAAAGAAGGAAATTAACACTTATTGAGTGCTTACTATGTGTCTGGCATTGCTCATAACAGCCCCAGAAGTAGGTACTATTATTTTCCTCATTTTCCAGATGAGGACACTGAGGCATAGAGAAGTTTTTGTCAGCTGTTGGGTTCCTGGGAAGCACTGGGACCATTTAATGTATAGGATATTAATTGAGGGGATCAACACTTGTAGAAGAGAAGGGAAGAGAAGGAGGCAGGATTGATAGAGGGAGCTGTTGAACTGCAACACAGTCTTAATGGAAACCTGAGTCCACCCTATGGGGAGCTAACCCTTCAGATTTGTTCCCTATTGCATCCCTATAGGGGACCAGGCCTTTATGTTCCTGCATCAGTCACTGGATTCCTAGCCCCTGATTTCTAGTTCAGCATTATTTCAACAACTCCTATCATCAAGCCACCGCAAAAGGGAAAAAAGCTTAAAGAAAAAAATAAATAATCATGGAGAAAAAGTAGAAAAAATATGGGCTCTGGAACCAGACAAATCTGGTTCTGAAACTTCTCTTACTAGCTGTTTGTTAACTCTGGACAAGTTATTTAACTTCTCTGAGCTTCACTTTACTTTTTTGGAAAATGGCAATAAGAATAGTTAGCTTGAAAGGTTGTTTTGAAAATCAAATACAATCATTTATATAGAGTATCTTGCATAGATACCTGGCACAAAGTAGGTACTGAATAAATGGAAATTATTACAATAATAGGGTAAATTATTGTGTTGTGGTATGCCTGCTTTTCTAATTTGTAGGGTGGAGTGAACAAGAGCTACCTAGAAGGGGAAAGGCATTACACTTTTTCTCTGACCTGGTACATGTAGGCACTCAGTCAGCATTTACTCCAATGAACAAATGTTTATTTAAAAAGATTTGTACAGACATAGCATTCTTACTTTCAAAGAGCAGAGGAACCTTTTATATTATGAACACATAGACATTGTGAAACTTAAAACTACAATTAAGGAAGGAAGGAAAAATATCCTCCCCTCCGCAGCCAGGGACTCAGACCTGGAGCTAAAACTTTTTCAGTTGGCTAACCCCTACCCCTTAAGTCCCTTAAGTCTGAGACTGACTTGACTAGAGATCTGGCTTTGGTGGAGGGGAGAGCTGCAGGGCTTGGGAAGCACAGTACCTTTTCTTTTGGGAGGGAAGGCTACCTGCACAATCCACAGGAAAGGGATGCAGCAGATGACCTGAGCTGAGGCTGCCTTACAGAAGAGTGCAGACTCAAGAGAGGGAGGGGAGGGAGAGGAAGTCCCACTCACCTGTATGTGTAAAGTGATCGGAACTCACTTAAATCTCAACTCAGTCCTCTGGCCCCTAAGATATCCCATTGAGTAAGTGCCAGAGTAATGGTTTTGAACCAAAGGCAACACAAATGTAAGCTTGGGGACCCTCTCAGCCTGAGGCAGCCCCTACAGCAGAGCCCTCAGCCCAATGACTTAGGCAGCAGAGTTAGGCAGGACTTGTGGAGTGGGTTTGGCTCCCTGGTCTCACTGTGGAGAACTTTTACTACTGATTTGCAAAAACTAGGTTATGGGAGAAAGGCCCACAGATCTCAGGATCCCCAGACACATAGCCTGGTACCTGAGAACTTTAGTATATCTGGGAGACTGGTGGGGTTTGGGGTGGTGGTGAACTCTATAATAACAGCCAGGCCTCCAAATTGAATATCAAAAGGAGGGCTTGTCCAAGCTAACTCTGGGCCTTGAAGATGAGATGAGAGTGAGAGGGGGGTGAAGGGGATATATGCACCAAGAGTGTTGGAAAGTCCAGCAAGTAGACTATTGTCCCTTTAGAGCCTAAGGCAAAAGTACAGGAAGGGAGCACCCTGGAGCCTTCACCTGAAATAAGATATGGACCTCCTCCAGCCCTCAGGCACAAGAGACAGAGAATCACATCTGTGCCTTCTGCCCTTCCCTCAGCTCCAAACAAGGGCAGGGGTTGAAATGTGGGTGGGAGAGAAGGGATCATCAGACACACTGTCATTAGCACCTGAACCACATCTCTTCCTAAACCAAAAACCCTAAGAATGAAAAGAAATAAGAGCAAAGTGAGAGAAGGGTTATGCTTCCATCACATTAAATAGGAGACTTGGTAGAGGTGGGGAAGTGTTGTTTCACATCAGGACATCAATTACTCTGGCCAAGGGAAGGGGTTATGAGCAGCAGAACCCTCTCTTCATTCATCCTGCTTCCGTTTTGGCTTTTTGGGGTTTCGGGACCGACTCTTGGCTTTGCACAGAGGGCATATAGGTGCATTCCGGTGAATTTGCTGATGACATGACAAGCAGGCCTGGTGGGGGACACAGGACAAAGAAAGTTAGTCGTCAGATTCTTCTAGGCCATGATTCAGCCTTCTGATCCCCAGGGGCCCAGAAAGCAATTGTGATTTCCCAACAGGAAGGAGTAGTAATCAGTGAGAGAGACCCAAGTAGAGAGATCAGTGCTGGATGTAAGGGACATAAAAGATAAAAGGGAGCAAGGGTCAAAGAGGTGTATTGAGGAAAAATATCCAAAACTGGGAAACAAGGCAAAATGACAATTGCATATCTATTTAGCATTATACTAGAAGATAGTCCAACAGGCCCACTCAAGGATTATTTAATTCTTTAGGACAGGTATCAGTAAACTTTTTCTATAAAGTCCAAGATAGTAAATATTTTAGACTTTTCAGGTCATACGATCTTAGTGGCAACAACTCAACTCTATTTTATATGAAAGAAGCTATAGATAATACCTAAACAAACAGGCATGCATGTGGGCCAATCAAACTTTATTTACAAAAACAGGAAATAGGTCAGACTTGGCCTGTGGACTCTAGTTTGCCGACCCCTGCTCTAGGAGAATGCCCCTGTGTTTGACCATTTACTATTGATAAGGACCCAGACTCTGTGACTTATGCTGATAAAGCTGCAAATGGTTTTTGCCCAGTACAGATGCAGATTATCTCTGTTCTGAAGAAAAGATAATCACAAAGGTTAGTTTTATTGTCCTGTAGGATATTAACCATTCCTGTATTTAACTTGGCAAACTGTTTTCGGTATTCCTTTCCTTTCCTGACTATATAATTATCTGTTCCTCAAATGCTTTTAGAACCAGCTTTGTAATCCTGCTGGCTCCTTCATTAATGACACATGCTCAATATATATTTGTTTGAGTCATGTCTCTAACTCTTTGACAATTATACGTTAGCAGAGCCTGCCAATCTCCCTGCATTCTAACCCCTCCGGGAATGTGAGGTAACAAAAACAGCGGGTCTACCACAGCACACACACACCATCCCTTCTTCTGTGTCCCAAGCAAAGACTGTTTTAGGAAGGCCCCAAATAAGTAAGGCCAGAGACCCAGACCCAGCTTTCCATGAGGCTGCTTGAGAATACCTTGCTTCTTCCACAGCCCCTACCCAGCTCACTCACCTTCATTGGTGGGGGTTGCTGCCTGAAGGTGGCTGTCTGCCGAGTGTCCTGCTTCCTAGCCACTTGGAGTTGTTGGGCAGCAGCGGCTGCAGCGGCCAGGGACTCAGGGATGGGGGGCTCCTGAGGCTCTGTCTGCCACTCTGCTTTCTGCTTTTCAAAGTAACTTTGAAGACGAGAGACATTAGCTGGATCATTCTGAAAGCAAGGAGATCCTTGCCCCTCTTAAGGACCCCATGCCACAGAACCAAGGGGGTTGGGCTGTGGCTCACTATAGAAAGTTCTTGCAACCTCCCCAGCACAAGGTTCTTCTCCCTGGGTACCAGGCCCATGGTCTGATGAGAAAGGTAATCCTCCTGCTCCTTAGCTCTGACAGACCCAGAAAATCAAGAAATCCCAAGGCTTGCAAAGTACTCAAAGGCCATTCACCCACTTTCCATCTCATGTTCCTTTGCAGTATTCCTATTAAGTGTCTTCAGGCCTCTGCTGACATATCTCTAGGAATAAGAAGCTCACCACTTCCATAGGCAGCCTGCTCTACCTCAAGGAAGTGTGCTTCCTTCTACTGAACTGAACTGTTTCTCTGTAAGGTGAGACTAGTTCTTTAACTCTGGGTCTTAAGATGAAGTTCCAGGCTAGCCCCTAGAGACCATGAAAGCTCAGCTTTATGTGTTTTCAAAGGTTTCTGGACACACCTTCTAGCCCTTGACTTGGGAAGTGACCTCTTAAGAGTCATGGACACACACACACACAAAAAGAATCATACACATGGTCTTGTATTGTCAAAATCGCACAAAGAATTTTAAAAGCCATCTAGTAACTCTAGTCTAATTATCCTTCTTTTGGTATAACAGCCCAGCGTGGAGACTTGCCCAAGGTCAAGCAATGAGTTAGCCTCTGACAGGCCTGGGGCTAGGACTGGGTACCCTGAGTTTCAGACCAGGCTTTATTGTGTATATACGCCTGTGTGAGTGTGTGTGTGTGTGTGTGTGTGTGTGTGTGTGTGGTGTATGTTACAAGGACAAGGGACAGGCAGCTTACTCCAAGGAGAGCTTCTCCTCCTCTTCACATAGGTCAGGGAGCCTCTGCAGACCCAGAGTCATGCGCAGGGCATCCACATGTTCCTTCAGCGGCTTATACTCATCATGTAGCCGCCGGGTAGACTCTAGCAGCTTGTTTAGATCATTCTCAGACTGTTTGATCGTGTTTTCCATCTGGAACACAGAGTGAGGCAGACACAGAGAAAAGACCCCAAGATTCTCAGTGAGGTTCTACAGCTGAGTGGATAATAGCACAGGCTCCAGAGCCAGATCAATCTATGGTCATGTCTTCAATCCACCATGTGTTCTATGTGACTCTTGTCAAGCCTCAGTTTCTTCATCTGTATAATGGTTATAATACTAGTGCCTACCTCATATAATCTTGGTGAAGATTCAATGATTGAATTCATATAAAGCTCTCAGTACAGGGGCTAACAGGGAGTAAAGGCTCAATAAATGGTAGATACTATTCAAATATAGCATCTTAGAGCTGGATTGGACCTTAGAGTTCATTTAGTCCACCCCACCACGATTTTACAAATCAGAGAATTGAGACTCAGAGAGAAGAAGGAACTTCCTCACAGAAATAATTCTTAGGGGCAAAGCCTAGATAAAGACTCAGGGCTTCTGCCTCCCAGGCCAGTGGCCTTTCTTCTAGATCAGTAGTTCTCAAAATGTGGTCACCAGATCAGCAGCATCAGCATCTCCTGGGAACTCATTAGGAATGCAAATTCTCAGGCATCACCCCAGACATATGGAGTCAGAAACTCTGGGGTGGAGTCCAACAATCTGTGTTTTAAAAGGCCCTCCAGGTGACTCTGATGCATGTTCAAGTTTGAGATCCACTGGCCTAGATTTTCAGCCCTCTGTGGCTAATATCTTGTTCATTTCATTGGCTCTGTATCCTTGTTTAGCTGGCAGCAGAACTGCCCTCCTCATGAGACCCTAGAACCCTATGATCTTGTGACACAGAAAATCCCAAGTACCTACTATCCAAACTGCATTTATATTTTCTTTAAGATTCTAGGCCTGGCAATATCAGGAAATAAGTATTGCCACAGAAATGAGTTTTCCAATGATAGAAACTTAACTCCTTCAAATGTAATTTTTTAAAAATACTTCTCATTGTCATAGGATCTAAGGGTTGGAAAGGACCTTACAGGTCAGCACCTCCAACCTCCCTTCTGGTGAAGGAATGATCAATACTGCAGCCCAGACAAGTGATAATTCAGACTCTGCTTAAATAATTCCAAAGAGTGGGAAATTTATCACCTTAGCAGGCAGTTCATTCCCCATGTTCCAAGAGTCTCCAAAAGAGAAACTCTAATGGGGGAGTTCCACTTTGGCAGGCCAGCAGAGATGATTTGTTTGGCCTAGTTGGAAGCTTTAGAACCCGTTAAGCTAGACCCTAGAGGCAGCTGCTTACTCTGCTTTTCTTCCCCAAGGCTAGCTCTCAACTCCCAGACTCCCAGGATAAGAGCACATCAGAGCTGAAAGGAACCTTATAGGTGACTGAATCCCTCTCATAGTACAGAGAGGGAAAATGAGGCCCAGAAAGAAGAGACACGTCCAGTGATATATAGACAATTAGTGACAGAGCCAGGACTGGATCTCAGTACTCCTAGATTCTTCCACTCTACCACAGCCTGATGCTTACTCTCCCAAGACGGCCACAGCCACATCTCAAGGGAAGGGCCACAGCACTCATTACAGCCTATTCCTCAAAGGGCACAGAGGTAGGCTTCAGGCAGCCAGTCACATACCACATTGATGTCAGCATGGATCAGTCGGAGTTCCTCCACATGGGCCATCTTCTCCTGTAGCAAGAGGTCCATCTCCTGCTTGTATTCCTTCAGGTGCCTCTCCTCTGATTCAAGGGCCTCAAACTCGGCCTTCAAACGAGCCTTGATCTTCTCCATTTGCAGGGTCTTGTTCCTGCAATTCCCAGAAAGCAGTAAACAGACCAGCAGGAGAAAGGAGGAAAACAGGAATGGAGTACATAGTTAGGCCCTGAGCCAGGGCTATCTTTCTAAGCCATCTTTCTAAGGTTCCCTCTCTCCAGGCAGAACCAATCTGAATCCATCCCAAAAAAGTTAGGAGATTCTTCTAAGATAAAAGCTCAGTGGGTCTCAAATGGGGATAATTTTGTTCTCTTATGTGGTATTTGCAAACATGGGACAGGTTTTATCTGTGAGATTGATTCAAGGGAGAGCACTACTGGCATTTAGTGGACATGAGCCAGAGATGCTAAACAGCCTCTCAATGCACAGGAAAGTCCCACGCCACAAATAACTACCACCCAAGATGCCAACCATGACCTCTTGAGAATCTCTAGAGGAACACTATCCAATAAATTTTCTATGATGATGGAAATGTTCTGTATCTATGCTTTCCAATACAGTAGCCACTAGGCATATGTAGCTACTGAGCACTTGAAACGTGGCTAGTGCAACTAAGGAACTGAATTTTGAATTTAATTTTATTTAATCAAACTTTAAACAGCCACATGTAGGTAATGGCTCTCATACCAGACAGCGCAGCTCTATAGGGTCCACTCATCAGTTCCACAAGAGGAAGGGGAAGGGAAGAATGGTAGCTCAATTCCTTTTTAGAAAAACAAAACCTGTTTCTGGTTGTTAAATCCCAATTGCATACCCTCTGGCTCAGTAATCCCACACCTGGGAATTTATTCTAAGGAAATAATTCAAGGAAGCAAAAAGTTAATACATAGCGATGTGCTTTCTGAGCTGTGGGCAAAATTGGAATATTTGGCAGCCATTAAAAGGAATCACTATGAAGATTTGTGACATGGGAAATGTTGAAGATATGATACTCAATGAAAAAGTACATACACTAAGGTTACAATTTCAAAATATACATGCATGTGACTAAACAAGAAAAGGAACTGGCAAGGGTACAGTTTCAAGGATCTTTAAGACCATTTGAAGCCTGCTTAAACGAAAGGGCCAGCAAACTTTGGAAGGAGGCCCCTCTAGGGCACATTGTTTTCTTCCCACTGGCTCTCTACTCTCTGGTTCTCAGGTCCTGCCTAGCCATTATCCATTACTCAGATTTGGCATCTCCTTTCTTCTGCCTCAGTAGCTGGCTTTCTCCTCTGTCCCAGCCCATCTCATGGGTGCTCTTGCTTCACACCCGAGACCTCAGCCTGCTTCTGTCTTCAGTCTCTCTCTCCTTTCTCAGCGTTGCCTGTGGCTCCTGCCTCAAGAGGTGGTCCTCAATGGCACAGAACCACAGAAAGAATTGTGTTAGGTGGGTAGGATGATGGGAGAAATTTTTCTTTCTATATTCAAAAATTTCTTTTCATGTTATTACATTGTTTTTACCTTAGAAAAGGGTAAAAAGATGGGTGTTATTATCCCATTTGTAAAGAAGCAAATTGAGGTTCAGGGTAGTAACCTGCCCAAGACCACAGAGCTAATAAATTGGATGTTAGGATTTAAACCCAAGGCTCTCTGATGCCACCCACTACTCCACACTGCTTGAGTGGGGTTACCCAGGCTAAAGGGCATACACACATCTAGAGTTCCTGGTATACCTGTTCAACTGTCTTGCAGAGGGATGATACTGATAGGTACTAGTCAATTAACTATTTAGAGCTCCTCCTATCTAGACTTCTATTCGCCTCCTCTAGATTATATGCGGAGCAATTTGAACTTTGCCTATCCCTATCCTAATTTACAGATGGGAAAACTGAGATTCAGAGTGATATAGTGTCTCATTCTAAGTCATATAGCCAGTTTGTGGCAGTGCTGGGCCTAGAACCCATTTCTGCAGGCAGAGCCATATTGTGAAAGGAACACTGGCTTTAGATTCAGACCTGGGTATAAATCCTGGTTCTGCCTCTGACTAGCTATTTGCCCTTGGACAATAATAATAACAACTATATTTATAGTTTAACTATATTTATTGAGCACCTATTATGTACCAATTATAGAGGATTTAAATATATATTTATTCAACAAATATTTATGGAACATCTATCAAGTGCCAGGCACTGTACTAGGCGCTAGGGACAGAGCAGAGAACAGGATGTCTGTGGACAGGAGGCTTCATCTAATGAGGAAAATAGACCCTGAACACACTGTTACATGTAAATATATATGATGAGTAGTAGGGATGAGATGCAGAATGCAGTGGAAAGGGCACAACAAAAGGATCTAACATAGTCTGAGGAACATTGTAGAGTAAAGTGGGCAGTCAGGGGAAGCTTCCCTGAGAACCTGAGGATGTGACATCTAAGCCAAGACCTGGAGAATGAGTAGGAGGTAGCTGGTGAGTGCAGACAGACACAGAGGAGAGCAGTCGAGGCAGAGAGAAGAGCATGAGCAATGGCCCTGGAGCAGAAAAGAATATGGCACATTAAAGGAACTGAACAAAGGTCAGTGTGACTGGAGCATCTACTGCAAAAGGGAGGGGGCCTGAGAAGAAACTAGGGAGGTTGCCAGAACACAGCCTGGAAATTGGGATGAGTTATGAATTTTATGAATTTCATGGGAAGGGGAAATCATAGAATGTTAAGCAGCAGGAGAGTGACATAATATGATTATCTCACTTCACTTCTCTCAGCCTTGGCTTCCTTATCAGTAACACAGGAATAATAATAGCACCTACTTTACAGGTTATATGGTGAGGGTTAAATGAGCTAAGACATGTAAAGTCCCCAAGTAGAGTATGTGGCACATGTGGCAAATGACAGTACCCTTCCCTCCCCACTCTGCCCAACTCTTCTGCCATGGTTATCTCCTTTACCACAATGGTTTGAACTTTGTTATAAAGAGCCTACAGTGAGTAGAGGTGTGTATGTGTGTGTGTTTGTGTGCACGTGGATGAGTATACATGTACTAGTATGAGTAGCAAGGTATATTACCAGTTACTAAGATTATAATAATAACGATTAGCATAAGGCACTTCATAATGTTAATATAAATAATGGCATTTTATAGTGCTGGGCCAAGCCTTCCTAATCAGTAACCAATTCAATTAAGATGTCAGCAACTACTACTAAATAAAATCAGGTGAGAAGTCTCTCACACAGACACTTCATAGAAATCAGCATTGCACATCTTTCCCTGCTTAAATGAATACCTCTTGCCTAACCCTCCCTCCTCCCTTTGTGCCTAATTCTCCTTACAGAGCCCCATGTTGTTGGGCAGGAGATACTGCAATCCCACATTAAATCAAAATAAACCAAAGGTTTTTCACCTGGTGGGTTAACAGTCAAGTGCTGCTGGGAATTGGAAAATCAAAGGCATAAAGCCTTCCTCAAAGAACCAGTGGTATTTCCTCTCTCTGGGGAGGAGGGCTGTCACTAGCAAAATGGCAGCTTCATCCTTTGGGTATGAGGCCCAGGGTAGCCACAATGTCTGCCTCTATCAAAGGTGTTTTGGAGCCTTTTTCAATTGTCCACTGTGGCAAGAAATAGCAAGGACTAGAGACCCTGACTAAGGGACAGAAGGGCCAAGACTTCTGGTTAGGGGAAGAAAAGAGAGTTATGAAGACGGATTTCAGATATAGCTTCTACTTGTTTTTCTGGGGAGAACCTGGCACATGCTTTAGTGGAGGGACAGCAGTGTCACTGCAGTCTTTCATGGTACTACTGTCACCTCTCAGCAGTAGTGTACCAAGGGCAGGGCAGTGGAAGCAGTCCACCCTGGAAGCAGACAATAAGGGGGCACACTGTTTACAGAGAATTAAAAAACATTAATAGAACAAACTAAAGTTGGTTTGCTGTTTACTATCACCATGCACTGAAAATTTTATTTTATTTTTTTTATTTTATTTTACTATTTAATTAAATTTAATTTTAACTTTATTGCCATAACATTGGTTTATAGTGAAAATTCTAAACAACGTCCACTGAAGGACATCTGGGCTGATCCCAGTTTTTGGCAATTATGAATAAAGCTGCTATGAATAACCATGTACAAGTTCTAATGTGATCATAAGTTTTCCTTTCTCTAGGATAAATGATCAAAACTGCAATTGCTGGATTGTATGGTAATTGCATGTTTAATTTTTCAAGAAAGTGCCAAACTCTTTTCCAGAGTGGCTGTACCATTTCACATGCTCACCAACAATGTATGAGCAATCCAGTTCCTCCACATGGCCAGTCATTTTACTTAAACTGTTTTAATAGGTATGTGGTGATACCGCAAAGAGATTTTAATTTACATTTCCCTAATGGCTAGTGATGTTCTACATCTTTTCATGTACTTATTTCCCATCTGTATATCCTTTTCCACAAAATGTCTGTGGGTGTCTTTGGCCCATTTTCTAATTGGATTAATTGTTTTCTCACAGTTGAGTTTTGAGAGTTCTTTATATATCTTAGATATGAGTCCTTTGTCAGATATGTGGTTTACAAATATTTTCTCCCAGTCAGTAGCTTGTCTTTTCATCCTCTTAACCAGGTCTTTAGCAGAAGATTTAAATATATAATGATAAAAGGGACACTCCATCAAGAAGACATATCACTTATAAATATATATGCACCCAACATAGGAGCACCAATGTACATAAAGCAACTATTAACAAACCTAAAAGGAGAAATCAACAACAACACAATAATAGTAGGGGATCTTAACACCCCACTTACAGCAATGGATAGATC